CAGGGTTAGCACTTTCTAGCACACAGGCTACAGTTCTCAGGAGGTTGGGAAGGTTATAACAAAGCTCCCAGTCTATAGGGGTGTGAATTATTCTGGTGCTGCAGCTTCCTTATTCTCAAGGTGATGTTTGTTTGCATTGGTCACTGCTTCAAAATTGTCTTTACAGGAAGGAGAATGTGCACAGACATGTGCTGAGGCTGCTCCTGCATCTTCATCACAAAGTGGCACCAGCCAAACTAGAATCTCTGCAGAAGGCTTTGGAGCCCACCAAGCAGGTAGGAAGGGAAAGCTAATTACAAATGAAAGCAGCTCCTTTCTGAGCATGGCTTAATGCAACATGAGCTCTGCCTCCCAAGTGTACCAAGCTGTGGCTCCATTACCTTGTAACTTCCTCTCTCTGTGCTGGTTTGTTGAAGCACACAGGGTAACACACACTTGGTGGTGTGGCTAGTAGGAGCTAGAATGGAGTGTGACTTGTTTTTCCCTCCCTAATTCTCATTCTGCAGAGTGGAGAAGCTGTGAAGGAGCTTTATAACCAACTGACTGAGAAACTGGAGCTTCGCAAGCCAAGTCCAGCTGAGGTGACTGAGACTCCCTCCATGGAGCTGCCCTTGCCCACGGTGCCCACACCAGCCTCCCGCTGAGCTGGGGCAGTGGTGCAGGAGTGCCACGGCAGGATTAACCCAGTGCTCTACAGCCTGAAGCCCTGTGCTGCCTTCCCAGTGTCTCTGCCCACGGGTGCAAACAAAGAAAAGCCACTGAAGCTCCTTCAGGAACACAGCTTGCCCAACTCACTGGCTCTTGCTGGGTAGAAGACTGTATGCAGTGTACTGCAAAGTTTACTTTTCTTAAACATAGCTGAGTGTCTTCTTGTAGATCCACTTGAAATCTGACTGTACATTTTTTTTTTTGCAAAAGAAAATGCATATTTTTAAGCTTGGCATCTTGTGTTTTTAAACTCTGCTGTAAGAACTGCTCAGGGAGTGTGGAACCTCATTGTGCTTGAGCTTCTGAGGCTAACCATGGCTTTCATTGGGCTTGGTCTGCAACTTGGGGCCTTTGGAGAAGGTGTGCAACAGAAGGGAGTGCAGAGGAGATAAGCTCCACTGATACCATTTCCTGTTTGAGGTTCTAACTGCCAGGACATGGTCGATGTGCTGCAGTAGTCAGAGATGTCCACTGCTGTCACTAGCACTCAACAGCATCTTCTCAGACAGGCTGGTGGCAGGTCTGGCCGAGGAGAGGAGAGCTGGACAGCCAGCAGAACGAGAGGCTACCAGTCCATGCCCTCCTGGCCTGCTGCTGCTCAAGGGTGTGAGAAGAGACACTTGCCAGAAAACACATTTGAGTAGTGACCGTTTGGTCTGCTTCCATGTTTTGAGCTGAGGATGGTATCACTCCTGTGCCAGGTCTTCCACAAACTCCTGAGGTACATGTAAATCCCCACACGACAGGAGCTGAGTGGCCATGGTGGTGTGTGGGGTGCCCTGGGTGCAGGGTGCTGGGGTTGTGGGGTGCCAGTGCTGCAGGGTGCCAAGCATGTAGGGTGTTGAGGATGCAGGGTACTGGTGTGTGGGGTGCAGGGTGTATGGGGTGCAGGGTATGTGGGGTGAAGGGTGTATGGGGTGCCAAGGGTGCAGGGTGTGTGGGGTGCAGGGT